AAAAAATGGCCTGGACAAACTAGAGATTCTTGAAAGCTTAATTATTGTTTGAGTCAAATTATTCACTGTTACAGGCTGCAGTGGAAGCTGTTTGTGCATTCCAGGAGGGTAATGTACATCCATTATGGTTTGAACACGCTTTTTTACTTCACTTCATTGCAGCAGAAAGGTTCTTAAAATGTCTGGCTCAGTTCCCTCTTGTTGATGAATTAGAATTTGCAGGAGTGTGTTTGTCAGGTGTCAGGGGAAGCTCACCTCTTATTTTTGTAATGACCTCCCCCACCATCATGGGGCAGTAGCTGGTTGTGGCTTATTATTGTTCATTTGTTTTAATACTGCCAAGCCAATTCTGAAGCAGACCTAATGGTGTTTGGGCACATCTACATGTGCTATTAATGTGCCTGAATAAATTCTGGTGCAGTTTGCACCAGAGTCATCTGCTTCCCAGGTGCAGTATTCACGCAGCAATTGGAGCCGGGGTGGAGCAGCTTTGGGCTGGTAATTGGTTCGGGGGGCTCAGCTCCAGGCTCTGGGTGGTGGCGTTGGGCGGCAGAGAGGCTGGCTGGGGCAGAGGGGCTAGGTGGCGGGCAGCCCTCTCATTGTAGCACCCTCGTGTCCCAGCCAGCCTCTCTGCCGCCCAACGGTCACAGTTTACATGTGCGTTTGAGCGCACATAATTACTCAGCTCTAAGATAGTACTGATCAGGAGAAGTACTATCTTATAGTAGAATTAATTGATTTACTGCACTCTCATATGGTTGCACATGTAGATGGTGATGCTTTACTGTGGAGCTAATTAGTCAACTGCAGTAAAGCACAGGTATAATGCACCCTTTGTGTAGATTCTCCAGTCTAGCTCTCAGAACTCAATGATTTCCTTCAATATCCTTTGTGAAGCTGCTGTTCAACCTGTTTCTTCTAGATATTTAAAATAACTCTTAAAACATCCTCCAATGGGGCAATGACATGACTGCTGTAACTACAGTATCAGTTCATGCGGCATTCTGGTGTGTCAGGAGTATCTGCTTTCTTTGGATGCATCTGTTTGGCTGCTCAGTTTGAATTTGTATTAGGTCAAGACCTAGGACCAGTTCCTGGTGTCAGAGTGGTTTATTAAAAAAAACGATTAGATGTAAATTGGTTGGGGTGAACTATCCATTTAGTTTTAATACATACATACTTTGAAAGCTAATTACAATTCATTGTACCTCTCACATTAAGAAAATAAAGAGGAACTGAAGACTTGCTATTTTTGACTTTGCTATTATTTTCAAATGGGATGGTTCCTAGTGCCTGAATAATGGTTAGGCAGTCCCTGTCCTCAAGTGGCCCTTGCCAGTCCTCCTGTGGCACCATGTTTTGAGGGAGCCCACATCGACACTGTGACAGTAACTGTGTGGTCAGCTGCTTGACTGTAGTATTTTTCCATTTGTCTTGAATACTGAATCCCCCCTGAGGGTAAAAGCAAGCAGCTGTCCTAGATAACATACATAGCCAAACAATATGGGTAAATGAAGGAGAACCCCCACCCTGAAGATCAGAAATGGAGAAAATCATGGAATTGAGAGATGATTAGAAATATAGGAACATAAATACATGATTATTGAATAAATGGAAAGTGTTACTGGAATAGTTACATCCTAAGCCAGCAAAAAGCAAATGTTTATAATGGCTTAAAACATTTTTTATTTTTCCTGTAGCTGCTAAATGTGTTTTTATTAAAGGTCAAACCAAACTTTCAGTCTTCTGTCAGCATCATTATGTCTTCTGCGGTGTGGAGAGGTATGATCCCTGACCAGTACAGCAGGCAATCAGAAGGCTCGCCCATAGATGCAGTTATACTAGCAAAATTGTACTGTTCCCAAGTGCACCTTGTTTTGGGGGATTTTATTATTCAGTTTGTACAAAGCGTAGGGGATAGACTACTACCACTACACAAGCTAGTGTGTTTAAAGCTAACTGTTCCACCTTGCAGTCACTGCTGTGACTACAGTGTAGATAGACCCTTAATCTAATGCCCCACTGAATATCTTGGTGACTTTCTGTAGTTGCACATCCTACAGTAACCACAGATTTTAGAAGAGCTATATTTTCCATACAGATAGTGTATGAAGTTATAGTGATAGAAGTTATAATTTAGACATGCTCCCTAATAGGAAACTGAGGGAGTTGTGAATTGGGAGATGGTCCCTCAGCTAGGGAGGAGCTAGCTAGCTAGCTAGTTAGTTAGCTAGAGACAAAGGGTCTTCAGTGGTTGTCTACTGCTCCACAATTAAAATGTGTTATTTTTATTCTAGATTAAGGGAAAAAACAAATAAGAAATGATGGAAAAAGGCTCCATGAGACAGCACAGTGTGTGTCTTTTCCCAGAGGGAGCCAGTATTTTATTCTGGATAAGTTTTTTGGGTTTTTTTCAGGGAGCCTGTGCTTTGGATCCTGCCCAAAATCATGGTTTCTGGGAAAATCGCAAAAATCACAATTTCAGTAGGTCCCCACACATTGATGTAGTAGAAAAGAAAACATAAGCAGATCATGCAGAAGGAATCTAGTTTTGTTAGGTATATAGCTTAACATCCCTATGCTCTTTCAAAAAAACCTGATCTTATATTTTGCATGCAGCAGTAGTGCCTCCAGGAATTTTTGCTTCAGAGACTGAGTTTGAAAGAAGCAGCATTTGGAAAATTGACATTAAGTTCACTTTTGAAGATATGTCAAATGTGCTTCTGGGCATAATGGCTGCAGTCAAGCCAAGTGCTCAATAATATGCTTATCTCTAGACATCTGCTTTGTCTGCTGCCTTCCCCAGTGCTTAGAGACAAGTATTTGATTAAATGCCTTGTTGGATCAGGGTGAGCATCTCCTAGATGTCCAAATTTATTTTCTTGGCCTTAGAAGGGAGAGACAGGAAAATTCACAAATAATATTCTTCTATCTAAGTGACAGGAGACACTCTAATTAAAGTACCCACAACGTCACATGTATTCAGTGTCTCTGCACTTCAAAATGGCAGTGGGAGTGTTTTAACTAAAGCTCATTTGACGAGCTGTAGTTAGAGCACCCCTGCCGCCAGTTTGAAACATGGGGACGCTGAATACACGTGATGCAGAGGCTGCTGGAACGTACTAAGAAGCACACTCCAGCAGACTTGCAGCAGGTTTGATTATTCATGTCTGCTCTAATATGTGCTAATTAGTATGGGTTGGAGCAGAGGTCCGTCGCATATATAGGTGCCCTTCAACACCAAAACCAAAGAACAGAACACCATAAAATTGGTTGTGAATAAATTTAAGCTGGAAATTAGAAGGTTTCTAACTATCAAAGCAGTGAGTTTCTGGGACAGCCTGACAATAGGAGTGAAAAAAAGGGTAAGAAGTGTCCCTGAGCCTTATGGCTCCTTGGACTAGCATGGCTAAGGAAAGCTAGTTTCTTTAGCCAGTAGTACAAAATGGAATGATGTAACTAGTGGCATATTTGGCCTCTGACTCCCCAGCCTGGGTCAGCTGTGGGGCAGTCTTTTGCATGAGTCTAGAATGGGGTTCTGGAGCCACAGCGAGACACCTTAGTTTCTTCTATGGTAAGGGGAACAGTAGCTAACTAGTTTAACTGTGGACTTTAATCTATGTGTGAAAGGGAGAGAGAAGAAAACTATATATTTACTGGGAGCTGGAGAATTGCTAAGCTTTTGATAGCATAAAGTAGGTTAAAGAGTTAGATACCTCACAGATTGAATAGGATCTAAACCTAAATGCAATCCTACTCCACCCTATTTGACTCCCTGAAAAAAGCATTGACATGGCCACACATCATCTGAATCTTAAGAAAAAGCAGTAAAGAGGGTGACCCACCCACCTTTTGTATTATTGCTTAAGTACCAGTTTGGGTATCTAATAGCTGGAATTGGATCTTACCCCAGGTCAGTCAAAACCTTATATATTGACTTCTCATATCCGTGACTTGATTTTCATTAATCTGTATTTGCATCATCATTGTTCAGTCCGCTTTAAGTCCAGTGACTCTTTATTTACTTTTTAAATTTCTCTTCCTTTTTTGGATCTTTAAAAATTTTACCTAAAAACCTTGTGAATGGTATCCCTTTTAATATAAAACTTGTACATATTTAACAAAGTCCATTAAAACTGAGCTTCAGAACCTGATCCCGAGCAGTACTAAAACATGGTATTCTGTTCTATAATAGAAACTTGTTTATTGGCAATGTGTAAAAACATGTAGTCTATTTATTTATTTATTTTTAAATATACAGCTACAAAACTGGCCGGTTGGTGATTTGACAGGGTACACTTTTAACGAGACTGCTGATCTGTGACAAAAAGATTACTGAAAGACTTCAGCTGATAAACAGGAGAAGCAGAAAGGGCCAGATAGACAACTCCCTCAGTCTCCTATTAGGGATCATGTCTAACTAATAACTTCTGTTACTATACTTTCTCTATGGAAAATGTAGCTTCTTTGGCATCTGGGGTCATTGTAGGATGTGGAACTACAGACTGTCAACAAGATATTCCATGGGGCATTAGATAAAGGGTCTGTCTAAACTGTAGTCACAGCAGTGACTGCAGAGTAGTGCAGTTACCTTTACACACACTAGCTTGTATAAAGGTAGTAGTTAGTTGTTTGAAGATGCAGATTTTAAAGGTATGCAGGCACCAAGCAGGATTTTCAATTTGACTTGAAGACCACTTTATGTAATTTTTTTCTATGCAATCATTTTTTTAAAAGAAAGTTCAGCCTCTGAACATTTTTACTTAATCACTGAAGAAAATGGAAAACAGAGAACTATCATTACATTTAGAATTGTTGGGTTTTTATAGAAGAACATAAGTAGGTACTTGTTACTCTTTCGGTGGGGGTAGCGCA